CCAAAACGTCAAAAAAAAAAAAAAAAAAAAAAAAAAGAATGGGGATAGAATAAAAATAGCCTGTGAAGTTACAGTTTTCCTACTCTGAAACATCCAGTCTTTGTCCACAAACTTCTAGTTAAGCAGGAAGTAGTAAAAAATACAAGGGAAGGAACATTGTGGACACTATTCCTATTGCTAAGTCAGTGGTTTGCACACTAAGGGATATTTTGCAGTGTGCATGGCCTCTAGTGGTAAAGGCCAGAGACACCACTGACAACCCCTGCCCTCATAAAACATCATTAAAAAAATAATTATCTTGTCTAGCTACATTAGTACCAAGACACTTGATGTAGGTGATCCGTGCTCCCCAGAGTTCCACAGACATTGAAACAATTTAACAGCATGGCCTATGGAAGATTAGGGAGGGAAAAGATAATACATTCTTTTTCCTTCCCTATCTTTTCTAAGACTTTAGAAATCCTAGTACTCCATGATATGTTATACAAGTTCTTAACTGTAAAGTACCTTAGAGACCACCTAGTTTAATGACTCTTAACTAAGTGCACCATTGGATTGATAGTCCATAGGGTTTTCTTAAAAACTCATCATGGCTCCACCCCTACTGAATCAAAATCTCTTAAAAAAAGCTGAAGCAGAAGGGCTGTGAAAAGCTCTTTAAGTGCTTCTTCTCTGATAAAGGATTTTTTTTTTTTAAAGTTTCTGTCACACAGCACATGTGCTTGCCTGAGAGAGAGAAACAGTGAGAAGGAAAGAGAAATTACCCCCTCAGGGAAGATGGCCACTCCACAATCCCTTCTCCTCTTGGGATTTTGAATGGCACGCACATGCACCAGGGGTGATTTTCAAGCTGCTGGGTCTGGGACTAGAATGGTGGTCGACCATGTGGGAATCCAGAGACATAACTAGTATGCCACCTGCTGGCCTCTGGTAAAGGAATCTTAGTTATTAGAGCCCCAACATGGAAAATAAAAAAACAGAGGTTTATGAATATCTGCACTACAAAACCATACAGAGTTCTTTCTAAAACTACAAACTCAGGTAGGCACAGTGAAGCATGCATGCCTATAATCCCAGCTACTCAAGAGGATGACAGAAGTTGTTCATGAGTTTGAGGATGGCCTGGGCAAGATAGTGGACCCCCGACTCTAAAACAAAACAAAAATTAAACACAATTCCCAGGCCCTTGTGCAAAGATTTTGAATCTCTGGGCATGAGATCTACGAATCTATTCTATCATGTTCTCCCACTGATTCTGATAGAGAGCCATACTTGAGATTACCAATATAGTTCAGTTCAGCCTCTCACTTAAATATTAGTATTCCATTCCTGTGGCCTGATTTAGTAGTAACATCAGAAAACTTAAAGCTACTACTGTCTTCATTTCAGCTATCAAAACCATGGAGAAACATACTTTTCCCTATTTGTCTTACCAAGTATAGCTTGTGAGTCTGAACAGTACATATAAAGCAAACTTAGGACTCTGAAAGGTTGAGGGAAGGCCCACAATTTAGGAAATTGGAACATGAACGATATGGTAGTGCTGAGTTCCTTGTGTTGTCCTGGGTCATCAGTAATGTCATGATGCATTGCTGTATAGAAAAATGTCATGACTTTTCTGATGATCCAATATTTTGCTTTATGTATACCAGAGCAGAAGAACCTAGAGAAGATACAACTCAGAAATGCAAATGAGTGAAGACCAAAAAAGAAAAAAAAAAGTCTGCTCTTTCTAGCTAAAGGACCAAGAAACTGACAGTCTGCTTAAGACAGGAAATTTTCAGTTAACAAATATTCTACTCCGGCCAAACATCACAGAAAAACCTGTGGACCCATCTTCACCTGAACCAGGAAAGGCCCAGTAAGAAACGGTTCTCAGATCACAACGATACACCTTACCCTAGTCTTTGTGGTAATGAAGTGGTCGTCTTCTTCCTCTCTGGCTAGGGCAGTATCAGAGAAGGCCTAGTACAATCAGGATTCACAACCACCCAGTGGTAAGGCCACTACCAACTACTCACAGAGTCAGAAGAGACCACTAGGGGAACTATAATGAGTTCTCCTGGTCCCTCTCAGAGTGGTGTCAGCTGAGACCTTGTAGAAAGCCTGAACTCCCACCCTCACCTGGCAATCACAAGGCAGTGCTTCCTTTCTTCAGCTGAACAGGTATCAGAGAAAGCCTGCTGTAAGGAAAGATCTAGAGTCTTATAACACCCAAAATACCCAGGTTGTAATCACAAATCACTTATCACACCAAGAGTCAAAAAAATATCTCAACTTCATGAAGACGATAAATGGATATCAACATTGAGATAACACAGATGTTAAAACTACCTGACCAAGATTTGAAAGCAGCATTCATAAAAATGCTTCAATGAGAACAAACACATCTAGACCAAAAAAAAAAAAAAAAAAGTCTCAGCAAAGAAAACATATGAAGAATCAAATGGAAATTTTAGAAGTGAAAAAAGCTATCATAATCAAAATTACAAACCTCAATTGAAAAGCTCAACAACAGAAAAGCAGCAGTAAATTTAAAGACAACAATAGAAATTACTCAATTTGGTCCACTATTATGGCCCAGCAGTAACACAAAATGTCCTGACAAGGCTAGAACCCATATGGCCAGCCAATGGTTTGGATTCCCAGGTTGGCCTGAAAACACACCAGGTGCAAACAAAAGATCTAGTAATCATATCAGAGAACCAAAATGAGAGAAGATAGCAGGGTTGAGAAATATTTGATTAACAGTGAAAAGGTTCCAAATATGTCCCCAAAACATACATATAGATTTAAGATAAGTGAATGCCGAACAAGATAAATCCAAAGAAATCCACGTCAAGCCCACAAGTCATGTAATACTAAAATCTCAAACTAAAACAGTTATACACCACAGAACGATGTTGTGCTCAACAACAGACCATACATACAATGATGGTCCCTTAGGATTATATCACACAGCCTCCATATATGGTATTGTAGACTATACCATCTAGGTCTATACAAGGACTTTTGTGAAGTTCATGTAACAGCAAAATTGCCTAATGACACATTTCTTAGAATGTATTCCTGTTACAAGTGACACATGACTGTATACTCACACTCAATCTCCAAACTAAAGGTAAGGAAAAAAAATCCTAAAGGCAGTAAAAGAGAAAAAAAAAAAATCTTAACCTATAAGAGAAAAACGATTTTAATGATAGCAGATTCCTCCACAGAAACTATGAAGGGTAGGGGTAGGTGGGCACAGGACACATTTTTCAAGCGTTGAAATATTTGTGAAGCTAGAATCCTATATTCATTGAATATATCCTTCAGGAATAAAGAGGAAATGAAGCCATTCTCAAATGAAGAAAAATTAAGACATCTGACATCGGCAGACCCACCTTTAAAAAACAATGGCTAGGGGCCAGCAGTCGGCATAATGGTTAGGTTGCTGTACTCCCACATGGCCAACCGTGGTTCAAGTCAAGGACCCAGTAACTTGAAATTCATGCCAGACATGTGTGCACATGTGTGCTCAAAAATCCGGAGAGGAGGCTGGAGAAGGGATTGAGGTGTGGCCATCTCCCCTAAGGAGTGATTTCCTACGTTCTCTCTCTCTGGCGAGTGCAAGCAACCTATAACAAAAATCTCTCTCTTTAAAAAAAGAAAAAAAAAAAAGGGAACCAGCAGTTAGCGTAATGGCTATGTTGCTGGACTCCCACATAGTTGACCACGGTTCGCGTCCCAGATCCAGTGGCTTAAAACTCATGCCGGGTGCGTGTGCGTGCATGCCTAAGATCCCGAGAGGAGAATGGAGAAGGGATTGCGGCGTGACCATCCCCCCTGGGTGGTGATTTCTCACTTTCTGTCTCTATGTCTCTGTCTGTCTGGCGAGCGCACGTGCCCTATAGCAAAAATCTCTCCAAAAAAAAAGAAAGTGTGGGAGAACTCAGAGGCAGGAAAGATGACTTTTCCCCTGGTGGTTAGCGAAAACCTCTCCAAAAAAAAAAAAGAATGGCTTCAGGAAGTTTTCTAAACAGAAATGACTTAAGGAATTTTGTAAATATCTATATGGAAGAACAATGGAAAAATCAAAATCAGTATTTATTCTTTTCCTCTTGAGTTTTCTAAATTATATTTGATGGCTAAAATGAAAACTTGCAATACTGCCTGATGTAGTTCTCAAATATACAGTAAATTTTTAAGACAACTGTATTATAAACAAAGGACAAACTGATTTAAAGAGAGAAAAAGAAAGTTTTACACCTCTCATTGGTAAATTGTTGATACATAGTGCTCTAGTGATATATGTATATATAAAAAACACCTGAAGCAACCACCAAAAATGCTACCCATAAACACTAAAAACTACTACCGATAGCAGGCTGGCTCTGTGATGGAATGCACCATTCAAGAGGAGCCAGAGCCCACAGTTGACTATGGTTAGAATCCCAACTAGGTCAGCCCAAAACATGCCAGGCACATGCATGAGTACCCAAGATCCAAAAGGTTGAAGGACTGAGGAAGAAGACTGCAGGACCAGACTCTGTAGAGGGTGCTCATCTGTGTCTGTCTCTTGTACTCTACCATGAATAAAGGGGAAAATTTTTTATGTATTTTTATATTATATAGAAATAGATATATTATAAATGCATATATGTAATATATGTATGATAGATATATAGAAATATATTATTAATATATAAATTCATATTATATAATATGTGAAAATACATAAAAATATTTTATATATAAAACATATATTATAACCTACAGCAAATATATATATATATATATAGAGAGAGAGAGAGAGAGAGAGAGAGAAAGAGAGAGAGAGAGAGAAAATATATATTCACTACAGGTAGGTCCAACCTGTGGTACAGTTGGTAGTATAGCAGACTATGGGGCTGGAAACCACAGAGTGATCACAGTTTCAGTCCAGTTGGCCTAAAAAACACACCAGGTGCAAATGTGCACACCCAGGATTTTAGTGGGTTAGAGAAAGAAGATCAGTGTGACTGGGCCCTGTGGAGAGTACTTCTTTCTCATGCATACACATGCTCTATCATGATTGAAGAAAAAAATATATAAATAAAAATGGAATTCTTCCTATATCATGATTGGTGAAAAAAATATATAAATAAAAATGGAATTCTAATAAATGTTTATCTATAGACATTAGGAGGTAAAAAGTCCAGAGAACGAAATTGAAAACAAAAATTAAAATAGCAGCCTTACTATAATTTCTGATGTTAAGGCTTATATATAAATGGTCTAAATATACTAATAACTAAGACAAATTGGCATAGTAGATAAAATAAATAAATAAATAAATAAAAATAAAGTATCAGGCTGGCCCAGTAGCACAGTAGTTAAATGCTGAAGAGAGGAGGCTAGATCCTATCTGGTCGACTGGGGCTGGAGTAACAGCCCTAGTGGCCTGAAAAACATGCCAGGTATGCGAGAGCATGCCTAAAATCCTAATGGGAGAACTAGAGGAAAGAGGATTGCAGCATGAACGGGTTCCACTCTGAAGATTACCTGCACACACATGCACATGCTGTCTCTTCTCTCTCGGGCACATACTTTCTGGTATTCCAAAAAGAAAAAAAACAAAAACAAAAAGAAAAAACAACTATATGTCATGTCATCTACAAGAAACTTACTCAAATATGACAGTTATAGACAGATTAAAAGGTTAGGAAAATGATTATATGATGATGATACAAGGGTCAAGCCACCAACACATAGGGAATAATAAATCAGTATGCCTGAAATAACAGAAACGTAAAACATGATAGAACTGAAAGGAGAAAGAGAAAAATCCACAACTACAGCAACCTTTCCATGGGGGTCTGCCTCAAAGAGCATCACACTTTCCCACTGTGCCATCGTCCAGTGCCCATAAAAAAAGAAAAAAAAAATGAAATTAAAATTTATAAAATTAAAACCATTTGCTCTGTAAAAGACTCTGTTAAGAGGATGAGAAGACAAGATACAGACTGGAAGAAAATATTTGCAAAACTATGTATTTGACATAGAATTCATATTTAAATATATTAAGAATTCTCAAAATTCAACAGTTAAAAAAAAAAAGCCAATCCAATCAAAAAATGAGCAAAATTAGACATGAAGAGACATCACCAAAAAGAATATATGGATGGTAAATAAGCACATGAAAAAGATGTTCAACATCACTAACCATCAGGGAAATGCAAATTAAGACCACGATGAGATATCACTACACACCTATCAGAACAGCTAAAATAAAAAATAATGACAATACCAAATGCCGGCGAAGATTCGGAGACACGGGATCTCTCATACATTGCTGGTGAGAATGTAAAATGGCACGGCCACTCTGGAAAATAGTTTGGCAGTTTCTTAAAAAACTAAATAAACTTAACCAAGACCCAGCAATTGCCCTTCTAGGCATTTATCCCAGAGAAATGAAAATTCAAGTCCACACAAAAACCTGTACATGATTGTTCATTAGCAGCTCTATTTATAATAGCCCAAAACTGGAAACAACCAAAACATCCTGCAATAGTTAAGTAAGCTGTGGCACATACATACCATAGAATACTAAAGGAAAACTACTGATACAGGCCAACACCTTGGGAGGGAGCTCAGGGCATTACCATGAGAGGAAAAAACCCAATCTTAAAAGGTCCCAAATTGTAACATTCTTGAAACGCCAAAAATTCAAGTGATAAATGACATACACCTATACACACACATGGTATCAATGTCAATTTCCTGGATCTGATATCGTATTATCTTATGTAAGATGTAACCATTGGGGAAAATTGGGTAAAGGTCAAATGTGACCTCTCTGGACTACCTCTGAAAGTTCCTCTTTATTTAATTATTTGAAGATTAAAACTTTAAGAGGGGGAAAAAACGAAACGATAAAACTATACACAGAAAGCTGAGAACAAAAAATAAATAATGCTCTCTCTGCCCAAGAAAATACAAAGTGCCCTGAAATCAAGAAACAAAAACTGAATAGAAATTTCTCTAAATTTGACAGTCCCAAATGTTCAGATAACATCAACAAAACTTCTCTAAATTATCAGCTAAAAACATTATGTTATGTAAATCCATAAACATCCTAGAATCGGAGTTGGCTAACTACAGCCCAGAAGCCAACTCCAACCATCTGTTTTTATGAGTAAAATTGTACTGAAATCAACAAACATACCCCAAAAAAGCCCCTTTGGCTTTAATTATTGGATTATTTTGCAGCAACACTGAGTATCAGAGAAAATATGACCTTAAAAGCTACACTTATCTTATTGAAGCACAAAGAATGGTAATTCACTGGGATATTTTATCCCTAAAACAGCCTTCCAAACCTATCAAACATGAGACTTTAAAAAAAGGTAATTTTCCATCTGCCATTCAATGCAAGAAACTATGTAAAAAATTTCTCCCTGCAAATTTCCAACACACACATGCAAGCGTGCATACATACACACACACATACACACAGAAATATAGCTTAATTGCATTATTATACCTTGGAAAGTATCAAATCGCCTAACCATCGCACACAATCGACATAATTCCTATGTATGTCTCTGGTAGAAAAGTCAGGGAAGTGGATTTTCTGAGAAATAAATGGCCTGAAGAAAGAATGGAAATGTAAAAAGTTAAAAAAAAAAAGAGTACAGTATAGAACCAATTTTTGTTTTTGCATTTATGAAAACTAAAACATATGACTATTAATTCCTGTATTCCTAGGTAATTGAACATCTTACGTTTGTTTAGAGTTAAAGTTTTGCTCCATTTTTATTTATTTTCTCATTAGCAGCTTTTAGATTCAACTTTTTGTCCTGTATTTCAATTATAAAAACTGAATCTTCTGGGGCCAGCAGGTGGCATGTGGTTAAGGTACTGGACTTCCACATGCCCAACCACAGTTCAAGTTCTAGACCCCGTGGTTCAAAAATCATGCCAAACATGTGTACGTGCATATCTAAAATCCCAAGAGGAGAATGAAGGAGATGGGATTATAGTGTGACTGCCCCCCACCGGGGGGGTAGGGGGTTGTTATTTCCCACTTTTTCTGTCTCTTTCCAGTGAGCATGCATGCCCTATGGCAAAAACCTTTAAAAAATTGGTGCTTATCAAAAATACGTTAAGAATATTTGCCATGGGAACAGCAGATGGCATAATGGTTATGTCACAGGACTCCCACCTGGTTAACTGCAGTTTAAGTCCTGGACCTGACAGCTTGAAACTCATGCCAGGCACGTCTATGTGTGTGCCCAAAATCCATAAAGGAGAATGGTGAAGGAACTGCGGCTTGGCCATCCCCTCTGGAGAATGGTATCTTGCTTTCTGTCTCTCTGGCAGGTGCACAGACCCTGTAACAAAAATCCATTAAAAAAAAAAAAAAGAATACTTGCCAAATTTCCCACCCACTAGATCATGAAACAAGGCTTCTGTGTTTTAATTTTATCCATTTAAGGGCCAACCAGTAGCATAGTGGTTAAGGTGGTTGGATCCCACAAGGTCAACTGAGTGGTTTAAATCTTGAAACTTGGTCTTGATGGCTGTTTTTGTTGGTGGTGGTGTATTTTTTTTCCTTTCAGTTTTAGTTTTTTCCATTAAAAACTTTAGATTTTTTGTGGGCAAGTGCACTTACCAGAGAGAAAACAAGAAAAAGGCATAGTGAGAAATGCCCTCAAACAGGGATGGCCATGCCAAAATCCCTTTTCCTTAAGTCTCCTAGGGTTTTTGGACATGCCTACATACACACTAGCATAATTTTGTGGGGGAAAAGAGGTTTTTACTATAGGGCATGTGCGTTCACCAGAAAGACAGAGAGCAACAGAGAGACAGAAAGTGAGAAATCGCCCCCCGCAATCCCTTATCCTCCATTCTCCTAGGGATCTTGGGCATGCATGTACATGCACCTGGCATGAATTTAAGCCATTGGGTCCAGGACTCAAACTGTGGTCCACTACACGGGAGGCCAGCAACACAGCCATTATGCCAATTGGCGGTCCCAATCAGCATAATTTTTCAAGCAGCAGGGTGTGCAGGTCAGCAATGGGGGATCTAGCACATTAACTTTCAAGCTATCTGCTGGTCCCAATTTGACACTATACAAAGTGTCCTTTTTTCTCTCCATTCTACAGTAAGTAAGAATGATTTTAAATGTTTATATTTATGGGACTGACAGATGGTGTAATGGTTATGTCACTAGACTCCCACCTAGTTGACCGTGGTTCAAGTTCCAGACCAAGTGGTTTAAACCTCACACCAGGCGCGTTTGCATGCATGCCCAAAATCCCAAGAGAATAGAGAAGAGATTACAGTGTGGCCAAAGCCCCGGGGAGTGATTTCTCACTTTCTATCTGTCTATCTTTGTCTCTCCAGTAAGTACATGTGCCCTTTAGTGAAAATCTCTCTCAAAAACAAATAAAATTTTATATTTATAATCTTAAAGGCTAAGCATATGCATTCCTAAACAAAAATAAGTAAACTGCATTAAATTAAGATAAAACACAATTTAAATGCAATTTTGTTTCCAGATATTTTTCTAAGGAATTATTTTATTTAACTTTGTTTATTTGACCAGAGAGGGACAGAATGAGAGAGAAAGAGAGAGGGTGAAAGTGAGAAAGCAAGCTGCCAGGTTTGGGACTTGAACTATGGTCAGCCATGTGGGAGTCCAGAACCCTCAACCACCATGCCACCTGCCAACCCTTTGAGAGAGATTTTTTGCTGTAGGACATGTACGCTCACCAGAGACACAAAGAGAGACAAGACAAAAAGATAGAAAGGGAGAAATCACACCCCAGGAGGATGGCCACGACACAATCCCTTCTCCTACATTTTCCTCTTGGCATTTTGAGAACGCACGCATATGTGCCTAGCGTTGAGTTTCAAGTCACCAAGTTTCAGGTCTGTGACTCACTGAAGTCAACGTAGGAGTTCAATACTTTAATTAACCACTACACCACCTGCTGATAACAATTTAAATGAAATTTTTAAAACTGAGGCATCGACATTAAAATAAAAGGCTTCTATTTAAATGGTATATAAATTATACCTAAAAGTTACCAAAAGAAGGGCTTCTAAACTCATTGTCCAGAGTTTATAACACAATTTAGAAAAAAGTAAAATTCATCTATTTCAACAGCCTGACATAATAAATTATTTTTTAAAGTACCATGATTGTTACCTGTTAGTTTTATTTGGGTTATAATCATAGGATTCCTTAATTGCATTCATCATTCTCTTTGAATTGATCCTCCAGAGTTTAAGAGAGTGATCCATACCACAGGACATAATTTTTTCACCCAAGAGATCATAATCCTATATGTAAAAACAGAAACAATTAAATTATATAATTTACAATACCAAATTCTCTTCATCTATTTTTCATCTGATGTACAATATGACAATTGTATTTCAAGTCATGATTCTAACTACATTTTGAGTTTAATCTATATAATAGGTCATAAATCATAGAGCTTTATACTATTAAAATTTAATGTTTTGATTGGATTGTCATCACTGGAGTATATAAACTTTTACAAGATGGAAGGCAAGAAAGGAAATTTCTTAAATTTAGTTTAACCAATTCAATTATACTTAAATGTTTCTTTTAGTTATCTTTGAAGATAAATTGAATGCTGCAGTAAGATAATTATTCTGTGACACAAAAAAATCTGGTTTATTTTTTGATCAAGCAATAAAACTGGGATCTGTATGTTTAATCACCTAAGTCCTTAAACTGTTCAAATCTTATTTTATCTGTACTACTTCTCTTATTTTTTAAGGAATTATTTAATTTAATTAATTTATTTATTTTTCATTTGATCAGAGAGGGATGGAGTGAGAGAGAGAGGGGGAAAGAGAGAAAGCAAGCCACCAGGTCCGGGACTCGAAACACAGTCGGCCATGTAGGAGTCCAACATCCTTAACCACCATGCCACCAGCTGGCCCCAACTTTATTTGTACTTCTAAGTTAAAAAAAATATATATTTCAAGCAGTTATTCATTTACAAGTTCATTTAATAAAGAAGAAAAAGTACAATAAAGAAAATGACAGATTATATCCTTTTCATTTGCCTTTTACTGATTTTCAACAGGCACTTAACAGATCACCTATTTTAAGTTTATTTCATAAATAAATACCTAGGTCCATAGAGCTATTTGATTATAGTACAAGGCATATAATGAGTTAATGAAACTCATCCATAGATCCTTTCTAAGCAGTGACTTCCTGAATTACAAAGAAGAAACATACCATTTCTTTCTCTATTTAAGAAGTGACAGTACAGAATTTACTGAAGGAGATTTTCCTAACTAAATATTTTGTTAATCCAATATTTGAATTAATCATAAGCACTTGTTTTACAAGAGCCTAAGAGCTTCAGGTTTGGGGTTTACTGAACACGTCTAATTGCAGCTAATTCTAATTACCCCACTGTCAATAACAACAAGACATCCTTACAATCTAATAACTTAGAGTTATTTATAAAGGACAGTACACTTGGCTCTTACACATACAAAGCCAGATGTAGAATGCTACTATCAATTTAAAGAAATCTGAATTAAAAGGGTGAGTTACACATGGAATTAAGTAAAGCTAAAATAATGTAAAAATCTAAAACCTAACTAAAAACACTTGTAACATATTAAAATACAATAGATAATACATCATATAACCATTTGATTATCTTTAAACATAATCAACTATTGGTCGGTCTTGTATAACATTTACTGCCCCTAAAGAATTGGAAAAAATTACCCAAGGTTCAGCATGAGCACAAACACTTACTCAAAGAGGATAACGTACAGTTCAACCTCAAGATAAAAAAGTATCTTAATGGTTAACAAGTTTAATTTTTACTTTTTAATAATTAAGAAACAACAAAGCAAACATTAACTTGGCAGTTTCGGAGTAAGAGGAACAGAACAAGTTTACAGTATTAGTTGATGAGAACCTAAGCACTGATACAGATAAAGTGTTAAGTAACTAAAAACAGTAACAAAAAGAGCCTTTCCTTGCTTTATTTCTTCACCTGTAAAATTACAATCTTCTATGTTAAACATAAATAAAAGTACTGTCTAGCAGAATATATGAAATAAACATGAAAGTCTTGTGTTTGTGGAAAACGCTCATTATTAAAAAGCTATGTGGTCCCCACTTAATATATTCCGAGTGTCTGCACTCTATGATTTAAACTGATTGACTAAAGGATATACAAACACAGTAAATGGGTGTAAATACCAGATATAGTGTGTGTGGAAGAGTAGGGCCTGAGGAAGGACATTTAGAAGAAAAATACGGAGGCAAAGCACTAATGGGACAAAGAAATGTAATATTATCTGTTGAAGCTATTTTACAGTTTAATCAAATGGACTAGGGAGAAATGTTCACATACTGAAATATTCACTTTGTAAGATAAATAACGTGATTGAAAGTACAAAAGAAAATAAAAAAAAAATGAACCATGTGGAGAAACACATGGTTGCAAGTCATTTTCTGCTCTCCTATCAATGAAGTTCTGCCTTCTGCAATTTTATGTTGCCTTTAGACTTTTCAGGCACTAGAATCATGAATTTTGCAAATAGATCTATTTCCTTCATAAAAACAAAAAAAACTATGCATACATTTCAATTTTTTGCACCAAAATAAACTTGTACCTTAATCCCAGTTTTCCACAAACTTTTTGAAGTCCTGTCATATGTTTTCTTATAAGAAAAGCATTCATTAAGATTTTTCAGTTGTGTAAACCAGACGGTCACTGCCCTGCACCTTTCAACTTACAGCACTTAGAACTTCATCTCTGTGCCCTTCTACACCTCCAAATATTGCCACCAGAGTGTCCGTTTGGATATTCCATAATCGTAAAGCATGATCTAGTAGAAACATACAAAAAAAACCTAAGATGAATTTTCATCATTCAATGACTATGAACTTTTGACACCTCCTTAAAGAAGCAAAACTGTGAAAGTTTGGACTTAAGTTATGCACAATGAAGACTAAAAATAAAATCTATACTATACAGCAATTTAAAATATTTACATCCTATGTAGAATCCACTAGGTAAAAAAGACTTACATAGTCTTAAAAATATATTTTTTAGAAGTGTATTAACACCATTCTTCCATGAGAGAGAAAGAGAAATAGTGAGATAAGAGACAGATGTAGGCAACCCTCAGCAGCACCCTTACACTGCGATCAATCCCAGCTTCAGCCAGCTCCAGATCAGGGACACATACACACCACTCAGTATGTTCAGGGAGTTTCTGGGTGTGAACCCAGAACATTCCTATGTGGGTCTCAGAATGTTGCCTTACCACTGTGCCACGACCTGGCTCCTTAAAAATACTGGGTTGTCGGAAAAGTCGTGGGGAATTTTTCTGTATTTCTGTGCAAAAGTGCCTCATGACTTTTTGGACAACCCCCTATTTTAAATTTGGGGCAGAAGGTGGCATGGTGGTTAAGGCTCTGGAGTCCTACATGGCTGAGTATGGTTCAAGTCCTGGACCCAGTAGCTTGAATCTCATGCTGGGTGTGTATGCATTCATGCCCAAGATCTCAAAAGAATGAATGAGAAGGGACTGTGGTGTGGCCACCCCTGCTGAGGAATGATTTCTCACTTTCATTCTCTGTATCTCTATCTCTCCAGCAGAGTACGCTCCCCATGGCAAAAAAATAAAAATATTATTTCAAGCATATTTATCTCAAATAATTTTATTTAAATAATATCCTACTTTAATAAAGATATACTAAAAAAAAAAACAAACAAAACAACTGGGCCAGTTGTTGGTGTGGTGGAACCCACATGGCTGATTACACAGAATACCAGATACAGTCACTTGAAAAACAAGCCAGATGCATGTGTATTTGTGCCACACATCCTGACAGAATGGAAAAATGGACGAAAGGGGACTGTGGTGTGACTATACCCCATGGTGGGGTGCTTTCCATCTTTTCTGTCTCTGGTGAACACACGTACCTTCTAAAAACAGAAAAGAATAAAATTAATCAAAACAATAACTTAGAAATATAAGGAAAAAGAGTAATCAAGAATTGAACGCAGATAAAACCTAACTAATTTCTAAGATCTCAGAAAAAAATATTTTTTAAGGTTTTTGCCAAGGGTGTGTGCACTCACCAGAGCAAGACAGAGAGAAGAAAAGGAGAAATCACCTCCCCCATGTGGGATGGCCACACTGTCATCCCCCACTGCAGTCCCTTCTCCATTGTCCTCTTGGGATTTGGGGCATGAATATACATGTACCTGGCTTGGGACTCAAACCATGGCTGGCCACATGGGAGTCTAGCACCTTAACCACCACCTGCTGGCCCCAACCTCAAAAATTACTAGGAATGACTAAGAGGCCCATCTCAATCCAGAATAAACTTGTAATGCCAAAACAGGCATAAAAAAATGCAATGTTTTCTCTTTATAGGAAAGACTTCAGAGAGAGTATGCTAGAGAGATCAATATTACAATTGAGGATGGAATTCAAGAACTATCATAATACAATAAGGTAAATAAGAGTAGTAACACACACTTAAAACTCATCACCAATTATTTTACTAATATTTGATGTTAACCAATGTTAAGTGTATTTCATGGACCCTTTACCCAATTCTTAGTTTAGAAATGCTAGTATATAGTCTGTACTGTTTTAAATAAGTTTTAACTTTTTTCTTTTTTCCTTAGTACACTATCATTTTTTTTAAAATTCTCAATTAAAATGGACCAAAGAAACATTTATTTCTCTTACCTTTACTTACTGAAAGAAGAAGATTGGGATCTCTTGGGTGGAATTTCAGCTCATTGATAGCATTTCCATGGCCAACATAGTGCTACAAAAAATTTAAAACATTTAAAGTTTCATATCCCGAAATAGGTAAATTCTCTTCCGCATATCTTAAGAGAACGGAAGAACAGTTTTACTTAAAGCAGTAGTTCTCAACCTGGGTTGCACAGTAAAATTGCCAAAGAAACTTGAATTTTTTTTGCTATACAGTATAGCATATGCTTGACAGAGAGAATTAGAGGGAAAGTGAGAAATTAATTCCCAGAGGGAATAGCCATGGAAGGAAAAACAATTTTACAAAAATTCGGTGGTTAAGGCATCTGGATCCCACATGGCCAAACGCATGGTTAGAGTCCCAGACCTGGCTGCTTAAGAATGTGTCTCATGTGTGTGTGAGTGGTCAGAATCCAGAAGGGAGGGAGAGAAGAAGAGATTGCAGAATGACTATTTCCCATAGGGATGCTTTCTTGCTTTCCCTTTTTCTTTATCTCCTTCAGTACACAGGCATTCAGAGAAAAAAAGAAACCACCAACACAACAAAACAAAAACAAAACCTCAAATCCCATCTGTAATACATTCTGGCTTGACTAATTAGCCTGAAAACTCAGGTATGGATAAGGCTTAAAAGATCCTCAGGTGGGGGCCAACAGGTAGTGTGGTAGTTAAGGCGCTGGACTCCCACATGGCCAATATCACTTCCTGAACCCGAAAAGAGTCCTGGCCCTGCCACTTGAAAATCACACAGGGCACGTGTATGCACAAGCCCAAAATTCCAAGAGGAGAATGGAGGAGAAGGGATGAGATGTGGCTATCACCCCTGGGCAAGTGGGGAGATGATTTCTCATTTTGCCTCTGTCATTGTCTCTATCTCTGGGAAACACACATGACATTAAGGCCAAAATCTTAAAAACAAAACAAAACAAAACAAAAATTTTAATTTCGTTCTATGTGCCCCACGTAAAAGGTCCTATTAAAGTGATCTGTAAAACCTGTCTTTCTGTTGACTTCTAGGCTTCACCTTTCAGTTCATTATAAGGTGTCCTTGAACATTATACCCTCCAGATTGGATGTCCTGAAAAATAGGCTCCTCCTTCTGATACTGTTAATTAAAAGCCACTCAAAGTACAGCATGGCAGGAGGGAAATGATTAAAGAAAGGGGAAAAAAAGCAAATATTAAAATTTTTCCACTTACTCTTAATTTACACCGCCCAAAATGCTGACAAAGATCTCAAAAGACTAGCATAAAAGAGCAATAAGCAAAGTACAAATCAAATTGGAAACTGAGTCATAGATTTCATTAGCTTAGAATTCAACATGGGGACCAGCAGATAGCGTAATGGCTTCGTCGCTGGACTCCCATGTAGTTGACTATGGTTCGAGTCCTGGACCCAGTGGCTTAAACACACGCCAGGTGCGCGTGTGTGTACAAGATGCCAAGAGGAGAATAGAGAAGGGATTGCAGCATGACCTTCTCCCCTAGGGAGTGATTTATCGCTGTCTCTCTGTCTCTCTCTCTCTCTTGCGAGCGCACCTGACCTATACCAAAAACCTCTCAAAAAAAAAATTTTATTTTCAATGTTAAGGATCCAGCAGGTGACACAGTGGTTGAGATGCTGGACTCCCACATGGCCAACTACAGTCCAAGTCCTGGACTTGACTGCTTGTTTTCTCACTTTTTTTCTCTCTGGTGAGCACAAATTGTAAAATAGTAACAAATAAGATTAAATAATTCTTTTTAAAAAGTTCAACATGAAGATTTTTCACAGGGAAGAAGTAGATTTACCATAAACCAGAAAACCCACCTTTATACACTGCATTGTTATGGGATTAATTATCCTAATTATGCCTCGAGATCCAGCTACAGCCAGCAGAGGATGGCTTGTATTGCTGTCATAGGTCCAAGCACAAGTGTAAAAGTTTTCATCAGCCTAAGTATGCTATAGTTAAGAAATACAATTTAATTTTTAAAAGTAAACAAGTCAATAATTACAACACAAAAAAAAACCTCCAAAAAACTGGTAAAGTTTTTCACATGAAAGTTCTCATCTTCTTTATACAACTTAATTTATATGATAGTGATTTTAGGTCTAAAACAAATACTAAATACACTAAACCACAGTCTCTTCATTCAATTGTGTTCACTATTTAGCTGTTGTATAACTGTTTAGTTCTCGTATTAGTGCCCAAACCAACCACAGACAATACATAAATAAATGGGCATGACTGAGTTCTGACAAAACTTTATTGGTGGCCAGCCTGCAGGTTATAGCTAGCTGACCTCTGCTCTTCTATTCTCATACTACTAGGAATCTCTAAATAAAAATGAGTATTTTGCTTCCCATCTTTTTCTGGACGAGATCTTCCTAACATGGCACCATGTACATGTCACACTTCTTTCTGTATCAGCTAAAGAAGACAAAAAGTCCTTGCCTTGTCTTGTTAGCTAGGTTTTTCAAATGGACCTGGAATAGCATCTAACTTTTACAGTTCTAACCCTTTAGCATGTTTGATTCTGTTTATGAACTCATGGTTAACAATAATTTCCTTCCCCAATCGCATATGCTCATTTTTTCCCTCCAGGCTTTGTTGATCAAATACCTGGAATCACTGCCAGTTTCCTATTAACCCAAGTTCGTCATTATAACTACAACGAAATAAAAATATTCTAGGCAAGCTCAAAGAAACAGGAGTTTCAGCAATTTCTGCCATCATTTTCATTTACTAAATTTCTTCATTTTCCAAATTTTCTAAAAGTTTTTACTCGTTGTATTAGGTTGTAGGATAAGTCGTGACTCATTTGTGCATAGAAACATATGTCATACCTATTCCGACAACCTAGTATTTTTTTCATGAGCGAAAATAAGCACAAGAGAGCAAAAGCATCCTTGACAGAGTCTCCTCATTCTGCAATCCCCTCCTGCATGTGTTTAAGGTCGCCCAGCATCTGAACCCCTACTGGTCATGTGGCTCCAGAAATGAAGAGGCGGGCTAATGTGCTGCTTGACCGGGCCTATCAATAGGTTTCAAATGCTTGCATCTCCAACAATTCACACCACCAGTTATATGTACCCTAGACCAGATTTCTAAGGCTCAGGGAACCCAGGCACCATGATCCTCTTCAATTACAGCGACAGTGAAGAAATAAACTAGCATTGTTTAAAGTTAAGAAAGGACAACAGGGAGGGACCAGCAGTTGGCATAATGGCTATGTCACTGGACTCCCATGTAGTCGACCGTGGTTCAAGTCCCGGACCCAGAGGTTTAAATCTCACACCGGGCACATGTACGTGCATGCACAAGATCCTGAGAGGAGAACGGAGAAGGGATTGTGGCATGGCCATTCCCCCTAGGGGGTGATTTCTCGCTTTCTATCTCTCTGTCTCTCTCTGGCTGGCTAGTGAACGGATGCGCC